ATCTTTGCTTTTCTGGACAGTTTTAATAATTCAAATGCATGCACAAGTGTCTTGATCTTGTCTAATGCTGTCCGTGTGAGATAATAGAACTAGATGCAGTTATTTTCTCTGCATGAATTTCAATCTTCGTTTATTTAATGAGCTCCTTTGTGTTGCTGATGTGTGTGTTTGGCCTTCGTGCGTGTGTTGAGTGTGAGACTGTTTTTCCATTCTGAAATGGGACGTGAATATTCATTGGGTCTAACAGTTATTATTAAACCGCCTCAGTTAGCCCACACGTTCAGGAGGCAGTAAGAAATTACAGCCTTGCCCCACATATGTAAATTTATCAGAAGAGTTGCCAGCGGGCCTTGTTTGGTTTGCCCAAAGCTTCAAGTGAATAATTTATCTGTGCATCGTTGGTGCCCACAGGAATTTTTTTATCCAACTCAGTGTCAGTTTGCTTCTTTGGCATCTCTCTGACTAATTTTTCTTAACGTGCAGTTAAACTTCACGTTGACAGATGATTTTATTTGTGTCCAAGTTGCTGTTTTGTATAATGAACCTGAGAGCGAAGCCACTTTTAGAGATCACTCATCTTTATCCTCACATCAGTCAGGGGAAAAATAAAGAAGTGCAACAAGAGCAGCAGAACATGATTATGTTGCCATATCTGTCATCTTTGGAGGAAAGATGAATGTGTGGATTGTCTTTGGGGAACGAAGGCCCCCGACCTTTCAGGTGTTTCCTTTCTGAATCTGAGCGTCCTCAGTCAGCCCCATGAGGACCCTTAAATTGGCTCTTGCTGCTGGGTAAGATTGATTGGGAGGAAAACAAATGGCCGCCGTCTAATTGTTTAACGGAGATGCAACACATTAGGCCAACAGGATGACACAACCTTGGGTTAATCCTTTTACCAAGAGATGTCTGCAATCCCATCCCTCTCCATCTCCATTTCGACCCTCACCCGTCACAAACCCTCTGTTCCCCTGCCCCCTCCCTCCCTGCTGGTGCTTCTTCAGCTCACTGAAACTCTATCTATGACGGGTACTTGAATTCCAGGCCTGTTTGAACTCAATCCCTGACTAAAAGCAGGGTTTGTTAGCTTTAGCTTGAGGTTAGGCTCCCTGGAGTCCCCAGTCAAAGTGATGAGAATGTATATAGTGCCGTAGATAATCCAATCATAATCGGTGAACCACAGTCCCATCATTAATCATCCCACTGTAATTTTTTAAAAGGCAGATGGCTCGGAACGTGTAAGGTTACAGTAATCATTGGGGAGCATAGGTCAAACATTTACTCAATGTGAACCTCGAAGAGCAGATGCTACAAGGAATGTTACCTGTTTTACTCCAAGTGTTTTTGTTTGTGGCACTCTGGAGAAGTGAGTATGAACAAAGTTTTATGTTTCAGCACAAACTCTGCTGTGGCAGAACATTTGCCCGTTTCTTTTATACCTTTTGCCACTGTGGCTCCACGGGTCATTTCTTTCTGCCTCATCAAAACTCTTTTTACACGAGTTTCTCTATTTCCAACATTATCTTTCCTACACATTCCTCTTTGTAATGTCAAGAGTGTGTACAACCCAATTTTAGTGCTGTCACACACCTTGAAGATAGAGGTTTGATTTGTGCAGTGGTGGTGCATCAGCGGGAGGGAGCAAGCGTAGTCCACTATCTGTGCTTTAACCTTCACATGTTAAAGACATCTGAACACAGAGACAGCACCAGCACTTGAAATATGGCCTCATTATCTGATGTGTCAGACAGGGATAAGATAAGATCATAGACTGGAGCTTTAATGACAACCAATTGATTTGCTCTGTTTTTAAATATATGTGTTGAGCTCATTAGTTTTTATCCATTTACTTTGTTGTAGTGTAGGTTTTCTCAGGGTGACCCAGCAATCTGGATTAAATGAAGTCAGGAAAAAGTGCTTGTGTCAGCTTGGATCAGTTTTATTGATGCCAGACAGATCATAAATGCATTATTGTCATACACTCCACCTCTGGCAATTCTGTACACAATCACACATCGTGTTACAGATGTTAAATCAAGTCCAAAGGCAAATGGAAGCAATTGCTTCATAGTCAAACTAATTGTTTCACTTAAGAGGGTGGGGGGAATCGGGCACTGTTGTTAGCACTTACTGCTAAAAAGTGAAGACAGAACAATTATGCATTTGTGTTCATGTGACTTACTCAAATGTCTCATAATCTAAAAAAAGACTAGTTTTAATGCAACTTAATATTGATGTACATTTCCAACTGATTAACCTTTAGGGTCAACATGATTCATTACGGCTCCAACTGACGTTAAAGCACAAACATGTCAACGACCCATTCAATTTTACAAAACTTAACCTAAAATTTCATCAGGGGATTTGTTCATGAGTGAGGGAAGAATGGTGCATGAGATTGAAAGATGTAATGATACAAAGTACAGCGTCTACAGTATTGCAGACTATGTGCCAGTCCGTTGTGGTGAAGAGGGAGCTGAGCTGTAAGGTAAAGCTCTCTGTTTACCGGTCAGTCTACCTTCCTACCCTCACCTATGGCCACAAACTCTGGATAGTGACCAAAAAAACGAGATCACAGATACAGGCAGTTGAAATGAGTTTCCTCCGCAGGGTAGCTGGAGTTATCCTTAGAGATAGGGTGAGAAGTTCAGTTATCCTGGAGAGACTCGAAGTAGAAGCAGTGCTCCTCCACATGGAAAGGAGCCAATTGAGGTGGTTCGGGCATCTACAAAGTAATAAGGATGCTCCTTGGGCACCTGCGTAAGGAGATGTTTTGGGCATGTCTGACTGGGAGGAGACCCCTGGGAAGACCCAGGACATGCTGCAGAGATTCTCGGTTGACATGGGGTCCTCCCAGAAGAACTGGAAGAGGTGGCTGTGGAAAGAGATGTCTGGGCCTTCCTGCTCAAGCTGCTGCTCCCACTACCCATCAGGGGTTTTGTTCACGGGGGTGGGGGTGGGGGCTGTGACTGAGTGGTTAGAGCAGTAGTCTTCCTATGCAAGAGTTGGGGGTTCGAATCCACCAGCAGTTACATGTCAAAGTGTCCCTGGGAAAGACACTGAACCCTTCATTGCTTCTGATGTGTGTCCCTTTAGTGTATGAATGTGATAAAGCACTGATTAGTCGCTTTAGAATTATTTGTTCAATTAGCTTTGTAGAGATAACGTAGAGTGCTGTATGAATGGGTAAATGAGGCACAGATTATAGTGTAAAGTACTTTGAGTATCTTGATAAGATAGAAAGGCGCTATATAAGTAAAGTCCATTTACCATTTACCCGACTTTGGAATAAGCAGAATATAATGGATTGATGGACCTAACGTTTGGTGTAGTAAATGGACTGTACTTATATAGTGCCTTTCTAACTGATCACGACACTCAAAGCGCTTTACATTACAATCTGTGCCCACATTTACCCATTCATACAGCACTCTACAATATTTATACAAAGAATAACCAATGGTTTATCACATCCATACACCGATGGGACACACATCAGAGGCAATGAGGGGTTCACTGTCTTTCCCAGGGACACTTCAGCATGTGGCTGCTGGTGGAATCGAACCCACAACTGTTGCATTGGAGGACGACTTCTCTAACCACTCAGCCACAGCTACCCCTGTAGTAGTGGCTGAGACTGAGCACCAACATTTTCTGCACAAGATCTTTGTTTAATTATTTACCTTTAGCCATACAGAATCAACTCTAAATGTCTGTTTGTTATCAACATATCTCATACATCACTGGAAAGATTATAAAGAAACGTTCAGGAAAATAAATCATTGGATGCATATTTACAACTATTAACTTTTAGAGCCAACTCAATTCAGGATGTCCACCATAGCTAATAAGTAATGGCCAAACTAAAATGGCTATAGCTCAGTAAATTTTACAGATATTAAGCTAAAAGTTAATGTGGTTGTAGCTGAGTCATTCTCAACATGTTTTCTGAGTATAACAATTCACAATCCTGCACGTGTTTGCACATTGCACATTGTTTTCAAGGTTTGACTAAAATAGCTACAACTCCACTATTTCCCCATGTAAGATGATTTTAATTTAAAATTTTGACATGGAGGTCAAAGGGCAATATGCATTAATTCAATAAGTGTTTGGCCTTTAATTAAACACGTCTCCTAAAGACATTGGCGTCAGAAGCACTTGTACTATGTGTGTGTGTATGGGGTGGAGACACACTGGTGAAGGGTCTGGAGGTCCTTCCCCAAAATGTTTTTGAATGAAGTAGGTGCCATTTCCTGCATTCTCGTGTATTTTAATGGGTTGATAAACATCTATGTTTACCTACGTAAGTAAACACTTTATTCAATTACTATTTTCGAGAGCACGGCACACACGGTCAACAACTGCTGGCACTAATGTAGCGCTACGCTAGCGGGGTATAAGGCAGACATGCTATCTAAGATGTAACAGATATAGTGCTTCAGTTATTTCAATCAATCAACCTTTATTTAGACAGGTAAATGTCATTGAGCCTCGAGGACTCATTTACAAGAGAGACCTATTTCATGCATCCTACCTCCCCACCCACATGCCGGTCAACAACTGCCCACACTAATGTAGTGCTAAGCTAGCGTGCAACACAGAGGTTGCACATGGTAGGTTACTAAAACACAACCCTCCAACCCCTGTGAGCACCCTGCCAAGGCAAGTGACCAAGAAACACTGCATGAGGTGTCATGAGTTGTTGTAGGTAACCAGGAAAACCCGGAGTGGACCTTTAGTGGTTTGAGTATTTTTCTATTAATCAAGTGGAATGGATTTGTTTACCAAGAAATAGAAACAGCGTTGGATGAACTAATATTTCATGGTAAATGTGTGTGTGATGCGGGGTCCAAATACTTTTTTTTTTTAATGTGAGGGAGACACATCCCCTTCACATGTAATTGTTGCGACACTTATGCCCAAAGATGAAATCAATATGTAGGACTGAGAGAAAGCAGCAAGCTAAACCCTATTTCTTCCATTTTTCTGTCTTTGTTCAGCTCCCTCCCCGGTGAGTTCTATCCAGGCCAAAGATATCACCAGACACACCATCTCACTGGCCTGGCAGCCACCAGAAAAGGCCAATGGGGTCATCCTGGAGTATGAGGTCAAGTATTATGAAAAGGTAAGTGGAGCTACAGTGGTTTCTCTTTATGAAATATTCCTAAAACGATATTTGAATCACAAAGACTGTACCTCTTTTTTTCCCTTCATCAGGACCAGAATGAACGAAGCTATCGCATTATAAAAACAGCATCCAGAAATGCCAACATCAAGGGCCTCACCCCACTAACTTCCTACGTGTTCCACGTACGTGCTCGCACAGCTGCAGGTTATGGTGAATTCAGCGGCCCCTTTGAGTTCATGACCAACTCCGGTAAGTTTAATCACACCACCTCCCTTCAGCATAGAGACATCTCTGTAGCGCAGAGCCAGCACAAGACCTTGCCAGATCTGCCACATCATTCCATGAGAAATCATGCCATGATAGCTGTTTTTATGAGTTTTCCCTTTCATTTCAGGGTCATTAATCAGAATAAGCTCTCATCTACTGAACATAAATTATCTACTGAACATAAATTATAGTGTGTTCCAGCACCTGACTGGCAAATTATGTCTCCGTAGACATGCCAACTAAGGTTCACACTAAATGGGTTTTAAACAGTCACTGTTTCAGCCAGCCTGAGAAGTACAGCAACCCTGTCAACATTAAGAGCATACGTGGGAGGACAGCTCCCAGTTTCTTATCAGCCCCCTAAACAAAGCTGAACTAGCCTCTGCGCTATCCTCACCAAAAATTGGTCAGAGCCACTGAAGATCACTGTGAACTTTAAAGACGAATGCATATTTTCCAGAAAAATTTCACCTAACAGACTAAAGAATTAGGAAGTCATTTACGTTAAGTTTTAAAGTGTTATGTATCAGCAAGTTCATGGCATGGATACCTGATTGTGTTTTTTTTTTAAAAAGAAGCTGGGAGACATAAATCTTCCCAACTGTAAACACTTGATTTATACTATTGTGGCTACAAAACGTTTATGTTATCAGGTACTGCCATGAAAAGGCTTGCAGTCACCTAATTGCCTGTGTACGAACCACTAGACATTTTATTGAAACACAGATTTTAAGTTTGCCATGTAAATGGTGTTGTAGACATCTCCAGCTGATTAACTTCTGGTGTTAATGTAGCCACCACAGCTAACTGACCTTAGCAAGTACAAAAAGGCCTACAACACAGTAAATTTAGCAAATACTGAGCTAAAAGCGATAACAGATTAGGATAACAAATCATACTAGATGTTGTTTACAAGTGTGGCATGCAGAACAGTTTGTTCTATGGATTCCTTCAATGGATGTTGTATTAGTGCTTGTTGATAGCATGGTTACTCAGCTTAGTTGACCGAGTGTCACATTCATTGAGAAGGACTGATTTTTTTTAGACCAATTCTAGCTCAGTTTTAGCCAAGATGTTCCTTCAATTCAAAAAGTATTCATTAAAACCTGATATTGCACTGTTTTACATTGCTCTGTTATTCAGTCAGAAAGAGCTAAAGGGGGCAGCACGGTGGCAACTGGTAGAGCTGCTGCCTCTCAGCAAGCAGGTCCCTGGTTCAAATCCCGGTCCAGGGGCCTTTCTGGGTGGAGTTTGCATAATCTCTCCGTGCATGCGTGGGTTTTCTCCGGGTGCTCCGGTTTCCTCCCACAGACCAAAAACATGCATGTTAGGCTGATTGGTAACTCTAAATTGTCCCTAGGTGTGAGTGAGAGAGTGAATGGTTGTTTATCTCGTTTGTCTCTGTGTGGCCCTGTGATGGACTTGCGACCCGTCCAGGGTGTACCCCGGCCCTCGCACAGTGATTGCTGGACATGGGCACCAGCGACCCCCGTGACCCAAAATGGAATAAGCGGGTAAAGAAAATGGATGGATGGATGAAGAGCTAAAGGGCTGTTTCGACACAAGTAAAAAAACAACAACCTTTGCTTGTTTTGTTTCACTATATTGTCGATAAAGATGAGCTGAGTTGAACTGAAGCAATTAAAAAGTGTCTGTGATGGTGTGTGTGTGTGTGTGTGTGTGTGTGTGTGGGGGGGGGGGGTTGTCAAGACTTAACATTTTTAGTTTGTAATAAAAAAAAGCATAATTCTAGTTGATGAAGTATAAATCCTTCCTGCCAACATTTGCTGTGAGGGACACTATAGACAGGAAGCAGTCAAAGGGGTTTCAAGGGCATGCTCCACCAATTTTTTAAATCTACTCAAAATTATGCATTTTCTCACCATTTGAAGAGCATTTTTCCAAAATTCCAAAGACCCCCCCCCCCCCCCCCCCCGTCCCCTAACACACACACACACACACACACACACACAATCAGTATATTCTATTTTTATTGAACAGTGGAACACTGAGAACTAATTGGCCTTTAAGCTGAACTTCATCTGGGAACTTCATCAAACTTGAAAACTGCATTACCCTTATTTATTTTATTATATTTTTTTTACACACTGAGCTCCATGAGCTTGTCTTGGCTACATGACTGCTAGTAACAAAGCAGGCTGCTTTGAGAGACCTACCAGGTAGGAAAAAGAACAAGCACACAAACAAATAAAAACATATGAGCTTCCCTACAAACACCACATCAGTGTCCAGTAATGATGTCCACAGAAACTCTATATAGATTAGGTTATTTATTTTACTGAAAGACTTTGACATTTAAATTACCCCCCACCATGTCAAGCACAAACACACACACACGCACGCACGCACACACACACACACACACATACACACACACACACACACACATAATCCCCCAAGCGATATTTAATCTAATAAACAAAGGTTTTCAACCTAATAAATTATGGATGATGACTGAATCAATGAAGAATCAAACATGAACTTCAACAACAAAAGTTATATCTTTTATCCCAAAGCATGTTGCCAACGACTCGTTTCTTTTTTTTAAAGCTCAGTTTGCATTATCATAACTTTTCGACCGCTTGTGCTATCAGAAAAATGCTAATGGTTTCTGAAAGCTGTGGAATTAAGCTTTACAACAAATGGCTTATAACGTTAACCTCACACTTGCTGTGGCAGGATTCCTGCGAAACAACCCACAATATTACCCTCCTCCCACACAGAAGCATGGCATGAACAGGTAAGCTCAGCCAGCACTTATTAAATGTGGGACATTTGTGGGTACTACCCTCTTTATGTGGGCTGCAGGACAGAGGGGGCATAATCCGGGACTGTCCCACTCAAATCTGGATGATTGACCAGTGTGCTACAGCTATTTGACTCATTAATGGAAGTGATAACAGGTTTTTTTTTTTTTACATAAAAAGTGGGAGAGCAAAGATACAAGTTGCATTCCCACTTTAAAAATAGGGATGGAGTTGAGAGACTCTCTCTGTTGATTAAGAACTAATGAACCCAAAATGCAAACAAGCAATCTAACAACCTTATAATGAAGCAAAGACAACCTCAGATGAACAACATATGACACAAATGTCATCATGCCATGCCAATTTATTTATAGAGCACTTAAAACAGCATGTATTTGATTTAAAAAGTAAAAATCTAGAAACTGCGCGAAACATTCCAACAACTTTTAGTAGCGTGTTTACCAGCTGCTGTTTTTGACTCATATTTTGTAAAGTAAATGACGATGTGAAAGGTATTTGTTCATCGTCGTTGCAGTTATGAAGGTTTTAACATCTGGAAACATAAAACCTCAGCACTGAAAACAGCTGCACACGAGTGTAAATATAATGACCAACTTAAAGACTGTAATTTCAATTTCAATTCAGTTTATTTATATAGAGTCAAGTCAGAACAGAAGTCATCTCAAGGCACTAAACAGAAATATTCATATTTAAAAATAATAATTTAACATTATTTATATGAGGAGCGGACTGCTTTGATTTTAACTCCATCACAAAACTCTCATATTGAGCAAGCATGAAGGTGACAGTGGAAAGGAAAAACTCCCTCATGAGGAAGAAACATTTAGTAGAACCAGGCTCAGGACAAGCGGTCACCTGCTTCAACCAGCTGTGTTTGAGAGGAACAGATACACAATGGCAGGTCGAGAATCACATGTTAAAACCGAAATAGTATCAAATGAAAACTATTCAATTTTAACAATTCATTTAAGGAAATGAGGTCAATTTGTCCTCTACTAGTCTAAGCCTATAGCAGCATAACAAGCCAACTCTAACTATAGGATTTATCAAAAAAAGAAAGTCTTAAACCCAGTTTTAAAACTGGACAATGTGTCAGCCTCACGGACAGAAACTGGAAGTTGGTTCCACAAGAGAGGAGCCTGACAACTGAAAGATCCTCCTTCCATTCTGGTTTTGAAAACTCTAGGAACCACAAGTAAACCTGCAGTTTGAGAGCAAAGTGCTCTGTTGGGAAAATATGGAACAATACGATCTGTAATATAAGATGGAGCTAGGTTGTTGAGAGCTTTGTAGGTTAGAAGTAAGATTTTGAATTCTATTCTGAATTTGACAGGGCTCATGACAGACTCGTTATAATAAATCTAATATTAACACTACATTTTTCCAACAGAACAGGTTCCTGGTTCAAACCCCGGTCCAGGAGCCTTTCTGGGTGGAGTTTGCATGTTCTCTCCGTGCATGCGTGGGTTTTCTCCGGGTACTCCGGTTTCCTCCCACAGACCAAAAACATGCATGTTAGGCTGATTGGTAACTCTAAATTGTCCATAGGTGTGAGTGAGAGAGTGAATGGTTGTTTGTCTCGTTTGTCTCTATGTGGCCCTGTGATGGATTTGCGACCCGTCCAGGGTGTACCCCGCCCCTCGCACAGTGATTGCTGGACATGGGCACCAGCGACCCCCGTGACCCAAAATGGAATAAACGGGTAAAGAAAATGGATGGATGGATGGATTTTTCCAACAGTTCCATATTGCCAAGTAAACTTTATTAATAGACAGCAAATGACAGATTGCTGAAGGCCCAGGTATACTCTTTGTAATATGAATGCAAAGTGGTACATGATAATGACCAAGAACACACCCTGATGGGACATCTTTGCCTTCTAACGGAGCATGGGAACTTGTAGACCTTGGTCCTGTTTACATGATGCTGTTTTTAAGTGAAATTTTCTTTTTGCTGCGATGTGCAGAAAACAGCAATCAAATTCTGTGACAAAAAAATATTTTTAAATCAAAGTGTCAAATTGGAAGCTTTTGGAAATGTTTGGCATTGCTGTGAAATCATGCATGCACACTCTCCAGATGGCTGCAGTCAATAGATTTTCTGTACTTGCATGAGTAGATGAAAAAAACAACAATGGTGGATAGCCGGGCGCTGTTTGGGCTGCTTTACAATTAATACATGCTACACCATTTTGTGGATCAACATAGATGCGTTTCTCACATTCTACAAATGCTGAATAAGCCTGGAACTGTTTTCATAGTCTGGACTGAAGTGAATGCGTGCACGTGAATGTTGTTGAAATGCAAACATCACAGTGTCAGCTCATGACCAGGGTTTTTTTTTTGTTTCTTTTGGTCATGTCTAAACAGTGATTGCAATCACAGCATTGCTGTGTGAACATGTAATATTTTTACAATCAACAGTGAAAAATTAATGTTTACAGGAGATTGTTTACATGTAAACAGGTTTTTATGGTCAGGACTGTAAAACGGAAGGAGAGAACAAACACTGAGTGTGGAGAGGAGCACAGACTCAGGCAGGAAGTGAGACGACGATAAACAGACAAAGTGCAGGTTCTTTCATGTGTGGCAGCTCAGTTGAATACGATATTGGCTTTTTTATTTGTCTTCCCAATATTCCTCACTTTCATTTTCTCTCTCCCTCTGCTTGATTTATTTTCATTCTTCAATTTTTTTTCATTTTTACAGTTCCATCCCCCATCATTGGCGATGGATCCAACTCCACAGTGTTACTGGTGTCGGTGGTTGGCAGCGTGGTCCTCCTCCTCATCCTCATCAGTGCTTTCGTCATCAGCCGGAGGTGAGCGTCATCCGTCCCTTTTTCAGTTCCTTCTGCTTTCTGTCTCTCCCTCTTTCCTTTCAGATGAAAGATGTCTTCCTCAGGCCCCCCCAAAAAAACCAGCTGTCAGGAGAATCATTCAAAAATACACACACACAAACACACACAGAGTTAGACAGTTGGTGCATCTGGTTCACATCAGATGAGTGATGACTCGCCACACTGGAGGCATGATTGACAGCTCCAACAGCTGAAGAGATGCAATCAGCGACCTCTCACTCTGTCTTCTGCATCCGTCCCTGCTCCGTCTCCTTCCCCCATCATTCTCTCTATCTTCTCAGCTCGTGGCAGTAATCATGGCTGCTAGTTATTTTCCCCCGCTGTGACTTTCTGACCGCTGCAAAGAGAACGAGAGGGAGGCAGCGAGAGACGGGAATAAAAATGAAGAAGAGACAGGGATGAGCAACGGGAGGGACAATGAGATAAGCGGGCAATAAAAAGTCGGAGGTAGAATATGGAGAGAGTGAGATAGGGAGGCATCAGGTGGATTTGCACTGACCCAATCTCAGGGTGTTAACCAGCCGGCAGGACAAAGCACCATCACACAGATGGGATTACATGCAGATGGGGCTGTCACACCTCGGGGTGTTAACCACACTCCAGCCTCTGTTTGTGTGCATGCATCGAAGGTGTAAGCATGTTCATGTACTTGTGCACCCTCAAAATAAAAAAAAAACAACCTCTTATATGTGTGGCTGCAGAAAGGAAGTGCTAATGGCGTGTGTTGATTGAGCAATATGAATACCAAATTATTGTTTGCACAAGAGTGTTGGTGTTGAGAATGATGATGAGCGAAGGGGGCAGTTGATTGTGTGTTTGTGTGTGTGTGTGTGTGTTTCCATGTGATTGCCTGTCTGCAGCCAAGCAGGTGGGTTGCCTCAGCCTTTTTTATATGCATGCGATGGCCACTGTCATTGTGCTGCTACGACCATCCTGTGATTGTGGGGAGGGACTGCAATCACATCACCGTTTACCATCATTGCACAACCATAGGGGAGGACCAATGTCTCACACATCTGGTTGTTTCCATTACTGACCAGTGGAAGCACAGGTGTCAGGCAGCTTGAAGAATTTAGAGGCATTTGGAAGCTTCTTCTCCAGGAATGATTCATAGTTTTTATTCCCGCCTGCCGCCTTTAGTCCATGATGTTGTCCTCAGTGCTCTTCAGAATCTGCGAGCACTGGAAAATGATCTAAGTGCAACTATTACATATAAATTAATGTTAAGTAAAAGTCCTTTACATAATAAAAGTATTTATGTGATTTACCAAGCTTTATTTGATGTTGGCAATTTTTTTTTTTTAAAGCTAATTTTAACTATTGCAAATAAAACGTCCCAAGAGCCAGTTAAGGTCACCAGGAAACAGCATGTGCAAGGCCCCACCCATGTCCTGCCACCTGACTTGCACAGCACCCAACTCTGATGACTCTCCTCGAAGGTGGTGGGTCCGTGGGAAGGTGGCTTTTTGTTGGTTTTTCTGACTTGGCCCAGCTGAGCCCCAGGAGCCAAGACTATCCTAACTCCACTCCCTGGCCTGACTCTTGGAAGGTGCCCCACGTTCCCTGATCCTGCATGATTGTCACAGTTCGCCTTCATCATTAAGGTCTTTGAATTGCGCTTTGTTGGACCCCTCCCCTGAGGCCAGTTTGCCATGTCCACCAGAGACTAGTGCCTCAGACTCAAACCCCTCAAGATCACAGGGGTACTTAACATCCTGCTCGATTTTTAGATAGTGATTCTTTGGGCATTGTTCCAGTTTGTTTGGTGTGGGGGGGGCGGGTGTCTTGAAGTAGAGTTTTTGCTTCTCTGCATGAAAATGAGTAAGCTGAGGTGATTCGGGCATCTGATTATGTGTTTAGAGTATCTCTTTCTGGAGATGCCAAAACAGACCCAGAACTCGCTCTATAGGAAGACCTCCCCCAGGAGGAGATGTAGAGTGTTGCTAGGAAAAGGGATGTCTATGTTTTCCTTCCTGGACCTGTTGTCTCCGCAACCCAACCACAAATTAGTTGCATGAAATGGATGAGTGGATATTACAAGGTTCAGTCTTAAACAGTTTGAAAGATTTTGGGATTTGTTTCTAGCATTTTCCAGACCTTGGTAAGTATGAAAAACAGAGTATGGAAAGCCATGTGTGTTTACAGACTTGCCTCCCCCCTTTAATTTTTTAGAATAAAATGTGACGTTCTAAAAATAAATTAGTCGACTATGTAAAGAGTTTATTCAGTTTCTCTTATAAAGAAGGGAACTCGATGGCAGCACCTCTTTTGGCAGATATCTGTGAATGTTAAACTTGAACTTTATGAAATTAGTCAAGTTTAAAAGATGCTTTGTAAGTGCGGACATTTCTCACATGATCCTTATACTGAACGGATATCACATGTTAGTCGAGCCTGAAAACAAATGTTACGTCATATGTTACTCTAAAAGGTAACAGCTTTACAAACGTTTTATTAAAGAAGACTCAAACACAGTGGGGGGAAAATAGAAACTGCAGTTTCAAGGATTTTCACTACTACAAAAAGCCAGAACAAACATAAATAAATAAATGCCATGAAACATTGCTGAAAATGTAGAATTATCATAACCAGAACACCATTCTACTGTATGCAAATTACATTTTAGTCCCATTTGTGGTTTTAAGTCATCCTGACATGATTTGTTCTATTAATTTGATGGTGTTTAGAATAGAATAGAATT